TGAGAAAACTGGAAAAATAAACCAAAGGGTAAATGTTGGCACAAAGGAGGCAAAGTTATCATTTGCAGATTATGTGATTTTCTATATACAAAACCCAAGAGAATTAAATGAGATGATATTATAAGTTAAGTAAGAGCTCAATAAGAGGAGAGTTTAAATATATATATCCAATGGTTTGCCTAAATCTCAAACACAACCAGAAATGAAATTGAACAGAGAAAAATTCATCTACAATATCAAAGTTACATGAAATATCTACAGGAAACTTAACAAAAAATCAGTAGGGATGTTACGAAGATAACGACTAAACTTTTCTCACGGGCATTAAAGAAGACATAAATAAATGGAAGACAAACTTTGTTTCTGAAAAGATTTAAAAGTTTATTCCTGCAAACATTTTTTGTGCTGGACACTATTCTCGGTCTAGGACACTCTGCTAGAATACAGCAGTGAACAAAACACACCAATATTCTTTCCCCTATGGAGCTTACATCTAATATAAAATTGTAAATTTATCAAATCTCCACCAAATTAATTGACTCATTTAATGTAATCCCAATCAAAATCCCAAAAGAAATTTTTTGAGGCAGAAGGGGGTACCTGATGAAAAAAATCTAAAACTACATTAAAAAAAAAAAAAAAACCTCAGTTGTGGTTGAGTCGATTGTGACTTAGAGTGAGCCCATGTGTTTTAGAGTAGAAAGAATAAACACGTACAAATAGCCCAGAAAAACTGGCAAATGAATAATTAAGTGTATTTGTCCCATCAGATGATCAAATATGGGGAACGTGCTTCTAAGCATGTAACCCAAAGCATAAAACAGAAAGGAAAATAACAATGGATTCAACTACATGGAAATCAATGAGTTTTACAACACAAAAACATCATAAACAAAATTAAAAGACGAAATAGAAACTGAAAAAAAAAATGCAATAAATTTGTCAGATAACAGAGAAATATCCTTATTTTATAAAAGATTTGCAAATCGATAAGAAAAAAATACACTAAGAAGAAAAGTGACAACAGACATGAATAGGCAATTACCAAAAGAAAGTCATGCCCAATATGTATATGAAAATATATTCAACCTCCTTAGTAATCAGATAAATGCACATTAAAACACCAGTAAAGTACTATTTATCACTTACCAAATTGGGAGGAGAAATAAATGATAATACCCACTACAGATCAGCGTGGAGAAAATGGCATTGTGGTAGAAAGTAAATTGTTTAGATCTTTCTCCAGGGTGGTTTGGCGTTACGCATTGAAGCCTTTAAAATGTGCGTATACTTCGATCCAGCAATTCTTCCTCTAGTAATTTATCTTAAGAAAATAGTCATGGATATAATCACAGATTTATTTAAAAGGATGTTTATTGCATTGTTGTTCATAATAGCAAAAAGTTGGAAATAATCTAAAAGTCCAATAATAGGAAATGGATTAAATAAATGATGGCATATTCAGCCATGCCACAGAATAACATGCATCCACTGAAAATTATGTGGTAAAGCTATATTTTATCATATGAAAAATTAGTCAAGATACAGTAAGGTTATTAAAATTGTGTATCTATTGTGATTCTATTTTTGGTTGCATCATCTATATATGTTAAGAAAGAAAGGCTGGAAAAATACACATCAAAGTAT